AACATCGAGATTGAAATGCGGAACTTACCGACCGTATCAATAAGAAATTACCTTTACCGGTGGATATAATACAAAAAACTACAAAGAAAGACTAAAATATTCGATATAGTTAATTTGCTATTGAAATTCTCGACACCATCAGCTCTTCTTTCTCACGACATTGATGTACTCCCTTGTTGGATGACCTCAAATTAACCCTCAATTAACACTGCTTGTACCGATCCGATAACTGCTTTTTGTACCATTTTCTCTTCTTTGTTCCAACTCACTTCCATACTTCTTATCTTTTTTTATGAACTTTATGACCTTTTTTTGCTAATTAGGAAATAGGTAATAATTGATGAAGTTTAGGACAGAGCCGATGACAGCTATAGCGATGCTTGTAGTCAGTATCGATCGATTGATTTCAATCATCAGACCTATTTTTTATTATAAAAAGATGTTGAACATTCAGCATTATCTGGTAAGATTGATTGCATCTTTTGATTGTTAAATTATTGATGGAGGAGAAGAAGAATGGCTGATCGATTATTGATGCGTCGAATAGTCAGCTGCTTTGTTGCGTGTCGTAAAATCAGTTAAAGCATTAAACCGCTCGATATTATTTTACAGGTCGAAACTTGATGATGGAAGATTGGAGTCGGAAAATGTTGCAAACTGTAATTTAGCTATCATAAATGTGATAACTCTTTCAAATTATTAATTTAAAAAAAAAGGAATTGAATTTCAGATAATTAGCAGCAATTTATTAATTTTTCTACTAATATCTGCAAGTGTAGTTTGTTCATATTTAAACAATATCAGCGTCGATTCATTTTGTTGGTTAGTTCTGTGAAACTTTTTTTGTAGTAAAATTTATAAATGAAATAAAACGCGAATAAATAAAATTAATTGAAACAATAATAGGTGATTTTTGGAATTTTCAAAAATTTCCTGGAATTTTTTAAATTTCCACTAACCATATAATTTAGAAATGAAGTCTTAAAATTAATATTTGCAATCAATAGAAGCTAAAGTAAAGTGAATTGTTGCTTATAATCAATATAAATTGAAATAGAAATTAACAATAATAGGTAATATTTGGAATTTTCAAAAATTTCCTGAAATTTTTTAAATTTCCACCAATCATATAATTCAGAAATGAAGAACACAAATATATAAATTTATTTCATTATTCTAGTTCACCTCTCTTACTTATAATTAATATTTGCAATCAATACAAGCTAAAGTAAAGTAAATTGTTACTTATAATCAATATAAATTAAAGTGAAAATTTCCAGTCTCACATATAACTCTGTATAGTCAAGTTTTAAAAAACATACTTATAGGACACCAAATAGTCGATGTCCAATATTTAATCGTATATATTACGGTACACGTATTAGCGCTGCTGTTGGAAGTATTGTACTTTACATTATCACTTTGTTTATCGTACGACGATACAACAAAGGAGTTAAAAAACGACAGGTTTGTTTTCATTTTCTTTTTTTTTTTTGCTAATTTGCTGTGGAACTAATTAATTTACCATTTTCGTATATTTGCTTTAATATTTTATGCATTGAAAATTTGCAACAGAAAAAAATGCTATTATTAACGTGAATAAGGACTAATTTAGCCAGTTTAAATTGCATTCCCATCATTGCCAGAGAAAATTAAAATTTTAATTTTAACAAAATTTTAACAAAACGCTTTGAATTTCATCCATAGTAAACTTATGGAATTGAAAAATTTCTGTAGTAATTCATTTGCACTGCCAGTAGTAATCAGTTTTTCAGTTTGTTTATTTCAGAATACTCAATCAGCTAATATAAGTAAGCGTCAGTTAAAATTTACAAAAACGGTAGGTTTATCATGCAGTGCAACTGCTAGCCTATACGTTTTGCCTATGATTGTGGCATTCTATGAGATAAGCGAAGATAAAATACCAAATACTCTTTTTGTAATTATTGTTCTAATCTTCTGTTTGAATTCATTCTCGAAAACAGTAATTATTGGCTATCGCTTATATGAAATTCGAGAATCTATCATTGATCTAATGCCAAGCGTATTTAGTAAGTAAGTAAATTTAGCATACACGTATAGCTTCTCTAATCTCCTATTAAAGTAAACTTATCTTTGTTTTGCCTTTTAAGATTTTGTTTATATATAATTTATGATTTGCTAAATGATTAATCAGAAGGCATGCACTACTGGAATGATTAGAAAATCAATGCAGATAATTTATTTATTAATTTTGATAATTTAGATTTGGAATACATAAAACACGAACTGTAAGTGTTGTTGAATTCAAGTCACGGCAAAGAGTTAATGCAACTATTATGACAACTAAATAAGGTTGTTAAATATAACTTTACTGATAACAGGAAGCCGAAATGATTTTCAAAATTTTCTTTTCTTTGAAAGTCATTTTATATTTGTTTCGATGTAAAAAATTATTTTTGTTTAATTTTAAGATAATGCAGTACTTATTTTACAATGCAAAAATTTCAAAAAATATTCAGGTTTTTAATATCATTGAAAAATTATATCAGTAGCGGTTTCTGTATTGTACTGAGAATCATAAATTGTATTTTTTTTTGCTTCCACTTCAGTATTGCTGCGAACTTTATTTTTGATCCTTTCGGAAAATTCCAGTTTCAGTTTTGTAAAAAATTACTGCTTCATCCTCAAATTACTTGCTACCTCAAATATTATTACCTGTACCTATTGTCCAATAATTATTATTTAAATGTCGACACATTTGTCAAATCAAATCTATCATATCATTCAGATTAAGTGCTTGTTTGAAATGAATAAAAAACGTTTGATTTTGGAAAAATCATCTTATCCTATGTGAAAATATGAAAATTCAAAGTTAATGTTGCTTAAAGCTGGTCAAATTCGCAGATATGATCATTTAATAAGATAAGAGATATGTTAGTTCATGTTAGCTTATCGAAATTTAAGAAAAATGAATGATAAGCGGAGGATGAAGTGATAAGGAAAATCATTTGATTTCTTGAAATTGCTAACAACAGTAGCAAAGTATCATTGTCTATGCAAGCATTTCTGTTTATCTGAATACGAAGAATTTAATAACTTTTCCTCAATTTATCTTGATTTGCAAATATTGTGAAATGATATTGATAATTGTACTTTTGTCAACAACGGTTCATTTAAGAATCCATCCAATCTTCTTGAACTATTGTGACCTTTGCTAACACATTGCAGTTTTCTGCAACATTTAAGTGGAAACAGACCTGAACTAGCTCCATAATGTTTCATAATGTTATCCAAAAAGTGATAATAAAATTATCAAATGATGACGATTCAAAAAAAATTGGAAAAATTTTTAGGAATGAAAGTGATGTATGCTGAAATGATCAAATTGCTGCTAAAATATCGTTCCGTTCAAAGTTGTACACAATTTTGATAGCAAAATATTCAATCTTCATAATCAGAGGTTTTCACAACCAATAAAATTGATCATGCAATGATAGCAGCCAATCATTACGTTACAAATTAAAGCTAAATTTGAGCTAGTATTGATTTTGCTATAAGAGCAATTCATTCATCAAAATTATCACCAGTAAATGAGAAATTTTCATTTTCAATACTTTTTCTACATCCTTTAAATATTGAAATTTAAATTTCGTTCGAATTTGAAAAAGAATGAATGAATTGTACTATAAAAAAAAAATTCGGATGGATATGTACGGCTTTTTTTTATCAAAATTTTTAAGCCATAACCAAATGGTTAACAATTTTAAGAAGATAATACATCATCCTCAATCATAAAGTAACACAATGCTATTGCAATTATCTTTATTAAATAAATGATTGTTGAGTGAAAGCTTTGTCAATCCTAACTTCAACATATTTGTAATTTGAGGATTTTGCAAAAAAGTTCTGAAAAAAAAAATAAAAAAGAGGAAAAAATTAATTTACCAAAATTTGCCTCTTCAGGAAAAAAAAAAAACTATCTTCTTCAAATAGCATTTTCAACATTTGATTTTGTTATTGCATTGCTATAATGCATCCGTAAAATCGTTTCTATTAAAATGTATTAATCATTTTTGAAAATTAATGATAGCATTGAATATTTATTTGTACCTGAAAGTAATTATAGTTGAATGTTTTACACAATTTTTACAGCATTTATAGTTGCAATGATAGTTAAATTTGATGCAATTTTTAGAGCATTTATAATTATAGTTAAATTTAAATTTTACAGTTTTATAGCAAATTTTAGTTAAATTTTATACAATTCTTATAACATAATTCGGCAATATTTTAGTATTGATTGGCATTTCCATCAATTTCAAAGATGATCGCGAAAATTCCTTTCAATATATCCGCTCAGAGATAATTTCGTTAGCAATTTGTATTGCATTCATCATCCTTCTTCTTGCTTTAAGCTATTGACACGCTCGATAGTTCAGCTATTAGCTTATCAATAATTCATATTATTTTCTGCCCGTAAAATGTTTGAACATAAAAACGACTAATATAAAATTTCATTTTTTAAAAAAAAAATCATTAAAATTTATTATTAAATATTACACACTTTTTCTTTTAAAGCAAAATCTGTTAGCAATTAAGCAAACAACAAATCCCATTCTATGCAAATTTCTATTTGATAATTAAATTAATGAACGCTAAAAAATATCGTTTATGTGTTATCGTTGTTTCCAATTAGATTAATTAATTGTTAATTAAAATGATTAAATTGCATTAAAAATTTTTCAGCACACATTACATTTAACGTTTTTCTACAATGGATTAAATATTCAATCAATTTAAATCATAAAAAAAATAGCGTGTAAATTTGTCAGCCAAATTGATTTATCTCAGTGTTTTCGTTAATTTTTAAACATTGCAATAATTCTTCGTCAAAAATTTCTGCAATTCCTCCAGTAATATGAATACTTTCATGTTCATTGAATAAGAAATAAATAATTCTAAGTAAATAGAGAAAGTATTCAAAAATAAATAAAAATTATTAAATTATGTGTGAAAAAAAAAGATGATGTTGAAAAAAATATATATTGAAATATAAAATGAAGATGAAAGAATGAACAGATTAAAGAGAGATTTCGCTCGATATTATGAGTAATTTAGCAAATATGCTTGCAGTGCTATTCAATCTTTCGAATTGCACGTTTGTTTTCTAATTTAAATTTCTTCTTTAAAATAGTTCTCCGCTTGAGATAATTTTCACATCTTCCTGCATATGATATTTTTATTACGGTAATCATTTATTATGATACTGTAAAATACACATTTGGTTCCTATTCTTTTTTTTTTTAAATTTCATTTCATTTTAATTTCTTTATTCACTATTTAATTTTTGAATGTGAAAATATTCAAAAGCTCCGTTTAATGCTTGAATGTGATTTTAGCTAGTTTCATCAAAATCAAAAAATTTTTGTTTAATTTTTTTAATTTTCGATTGTAATAAAATTTTAAATATTTCTGATTTTTTTCACATCATTTTACTTTTTACGATTTGTAATGCATGGTGAATTATAATATCTTTACTTCGAATTTTTCAACTAGCTAACACAACAATTTTTAATGATTTAGTTAATTTCATGAAGTTTAAAATAACATTTCTGCGGTTTAATTTTTAGCTGTTTAATTGCAATTAAAATCTATGTTTACATTTGAGAGAAAAATAGACAGTTTTAGTTTCAATAGAATAATTTAATGCGCATCAATTCATTGAATTCAAAGATTAATAAATTTCCTCAGCCGTATTTTTTTTTTTTTGCTTTTCAAAATTGAATTTTTTGACAGAAATAAAATGAGATTTGATTTGTATTATGAAAAAAGATTGCTTCTGCCAAATTTTTTCGTAAATGAAATGAAAAATGCTAATTTGAGAATAAATCAAAAATTGTTGACTATATGGCAATACTCGTCTCTTTTCCATATGTTTAAACATGGATTTAAAGCACTGCAGTGTAATCTCAAGTGCAATAATTTAAATTATCTTCCGGATTGCCAAATATTATCCCCGTAATAATTGTGCAAAAATAATGAATGTCAAGAAGTGATTTTATTGATATACTTCAAACTTACTCGAGATTACACTGCAAATACTTCAAATGAAATGATGTTTTCACTCATACGATGAATATTTTCAGATGAAATAGCAAATAGGTGTAATGATCGAGAATGATAGCCATTTGTAGAGATGAGAGGTGAGAAGCAATCCCATTTGCATTCCTTAAATTATTTCAAATTACAATTCTCAGCTAGAGAGCGTTGAATTACACAGGCCAGCTAATATACTTCTCTCATTCCACTCCTCAAATTTTTTCCATCCATTTGAGCAATTCATTATAAACTATAAAATATTTTATGAAAAAAACATTTGAACGCTATCATCTGATAAGTAATTCTTCCTCTCTCACAATAACTTTTGTTCATCGTCTTTTTACTGTCAGAATTTTATAAATTAACGATGTTAAATTTGTAAACATACTGAGAATTGATGTATAATCAATTTAATATTATCGCTTTTTTGATCAATAATTAGTTTTTCATGTTTAATTGTTTTTATCAGTGTTTGATCAGTGATACAGTGAATGAAAAACGATGTAATTGTTATGCTCATGATAATAAGCACAATTTCGTGGGGACAAATTGAATTGTTGATAAAATTAACGAACATCCTAAAAACGATAACAGCAATATTTAGGTATTTGTTAGGAATAATTTGCAAGTAATGCTTTTAAATCATAAGGAATAATTATTAAAAAAAGTTTTTCATTCAATATAATACATCTATATGCATATATTAGAAAAATTTCAATTATTTTCCGCAATCAGTAACTTTAAATTTAAACAATTTTGGAATATATGAAATGTCGGCCGATTAGTTGTGATCATTAAATTAATTCAAAGATTCTTTTTTCGCTGATTGTTCAAGTTTATATATATATA